GATGCGGGATGGGGAAGGAAGCAGGATGGGGAAGGAAGCAGGATAGAGAGGGACATGGGATGGGGGGGGATGCGGGATGGGGAAGGAAGGAAGCGGGCTGGGGAGGGATGCGGGATGAGGGGGATGCAGGATGGGGAGGGATGCGGGCTGGGGAGGAATGGGGAGAGGAGGCAGCAGCCCCTGATCCCCAGGAGGCATGCCGGGCCGTGGCAGCGTGGGGAGAAGGAAGAGGAGGAGGCAGAGGAGGAGGCAGGCATCCCGCCAGCACCCGCCGTGGTTCCCAGCCCAGCCCAGGAAACCATCCAGATTTCGAATGTGGCGGGGAGGCTGTGGGGCTGCTGTTCCACAAGGCCTGGCCAGCGGCCGGGGGCAGGCAGGGACTTGATGGAGGAGCAGGAGAAGGGCTTAAAAACAAGGAGGAAAAGATTCCCTGTGGAGCAAAGCTCCTCTCCACCTCCCTTAGGGGCATCCTGCCCTCACAACCCCACACGGGGCTCACCCCAGAGGGGGAAAGGGGTGGAATGAGCGAGGAATCTTGCTTTAACCTCCTCCTCCTGGGATGGGGGTCCTGGGTGTAGGTTGGCGAGGGCCCTGAAGGCATCTCCCCTCCCGCAGGCCAAGCTGAGGAACATGGAGACCTCCCTGCGGCACAAGGCCAAGGACTTCTCGGCCGTGCATCACTCCTACGAGTCCATCTCCAAACACAACCAGGTGGGTGCTGCCTCCCTCCTGGCCCGCAGGGGACGGGGCCTGATCCAGACACATGCATGGACATGTGTGCACACGCGTGTACACACCCCGGGCAGGAATGTGGGTTGCTCTGGGGTGGAGCCATCCCGGGCTGCTCCATCCCTGAGCGAGGAGGATGCTGGAGATGGGGAATTAATGGGCACAAATTGAATATAAGAAGTTCCATCTGCACATGAATCACAGAATCCCAGAATCTTCTAGGTTGGAAGGGACCTTAAAGATCATCTTGTCCAACCGTCAACCCAACTGACAAAAATAGACACCCACACAACAAACAAGGAGCATCATCACTAAACCATACCTCCCAGCACTACATCAACCTGTCTTTTGAACACCTGAGGATGAGGAACTTCTTTCCTGTGAGGGTGGCAGAGCCCTGGCAGAGGCTGCCCAGAGAGGTGGTGGAGTCTCCTTCTCTGGAGACATTCAAACCCACCTGGACATGTTCCTGTGGGACCTGCTCTGGGTGGCCCTGCTCTGGCAGGGGGTTGGAGGAGATGATCTCCAGAGGTCCCTTCCAACCCCATGTGATTCTGTAATTGGGGACCAGGGGAAAGGAGATGGGGCTGCTGTGGCAGCCAGGACATTGATTTTGGGAGGGCAGCGTGGTCCCAGCAAGTCCCTGAGCACTGGAGCTGGTTGGAGGGCTCCGGAGGGGCATTTAGGGGGAAGACAGGGGGAGCCTGGTGGAGCTGGGGGGCTCCGAAGGGAGGTGGTGACGTCCCCCCGTGGGGCAGGTGGAAGCGGTCCGGCTGGAGGAGCAGATTGGGAAGGAGTTTGAGAAGCTGCACGAGTTCCTGCGGGAGGAGGAGAAGGCTCTGCTGGCCCAGCTGCAGGAGGAGACGCGGCGCAAGAACAACCTCATCGAGGGCAAGATGAAGCGCCTGGTCAAGGAGAGGCAGGCCCTGCTCAACGAAGCCTTCCAGCTCCAGGCAGACCTCAAGGAGGATGACTACACCTTCCTCATGGTAAAGCCCCAATGGGGTGCTGCCCCACGCCCTGCGGGGTGTCCCCCTCCCTTTGACACCCTCCTGCTTCCACTGGGGGATGCTTTGGGTGTTTGCAAGCCCCCATGAGCCCCCCCTACAAGCTGGGATCTGATGCCTGGTGTCTCCTTCTCTTTCAGAGCCACAAGAACCGCAAGCGCAGGTAGGTCCTGGTCCCCAACACATCCCCTTCCCTGGGACACAGGGGGCTGAGCCCCTGCACCCCCTCTATGGGGCTGAATGGGGTCTTCTGGGAGGTCTCTGCCCCATATGACTTCGTGTACCCATGGGATGCTCCAGCAGAAGGAGGTCCTGGGTGTCCACGAGGCTGGGGATGGGGGGAGTGACACAAAGCAGACACAAAGCACCTCTGCAGGTCTTGGGGGAAGTGTTAAAAACCTCATGTTGGGGGGAATTTGGTGCTGGGACCCTCCTGGGGGGAGAACAGGGTGGGAGCAAAGCCCAGAAAGAGACATGGGGCCCTGGTGGGGACGTCCCTCCCAAAACACAGGGTGCCAGGTACCTCCAGACCCTTCCTCCAGACCCTTCCTCCATCCTTGACCTGTCTCCATCCTCTTCCACCATCCCAGGATCGCCTGCACGGCTGAGGAGCCCGAGGCTGTGCCCTCTGGGATGCTCCTCGATGTCGCCAAGTACCTGGGCTCCCTGCAGTACAACGTGTGGAAGAAGATGCTGGATATCATCACCGTAGGTGAGGTGCTGGGCCTGGGGGACACATGGTTCTCCCAGGGCTGGGGGATAAAAAGCAGGACAACATGGGCTGGCAGCCCAGCAAGCCCCCCAACCCCTGAGCTGCTTCCCCAGCAGCGTGGCCAGCAGGGCCAGGGGGGGCATTCTGTCCCTCTGCTCCGCTCTGGGGAGACTCCATCTGGAGCTCTCCATCCAGATTTGGAGTCTTCAGCTCAGGAGAGACATGGAGCTGTTGGAGCAGGGCCAGAGGAGGCCCCGGAGATGCTGGGAGGGCTGGAGCCCCTCTGCTGGGAGGGGGGGCTGAGAGAGTTGGGGGGGGTCAGCCTGGAGAAGAGAAGGCTCCATGGAGACCTTGGAGCCCCTTCCAGTCCCTCAAGAAGGGGGGCTCCAGGAAAGCTGGGGAGGGACTCTGGCTGAGGGAGGGGAGCCCTAGGAGGAGGGGGAAGGGTTGGACACTGCAAGAGGGGAGATGGAGCTGAGCTGTGGGGAAGAACTTGTTTGGTGGGAGGGTGGTGAGAGCCTGGCCCAGGTTGGCCCGAGAAGCTGTGGTTGGAGCAACCTGGTGTGGTGGGAGGTGTCCCTGCCCAGGGCAGGGGGTGGCACTGGGGGGGCTTGAAGGTCCCTTCCCACCCAAACCATTCTATGGCTAAAGCAGCCTTCGCATGGGGCACTCTAGGGGTGGTGGGTGCTGGAGAGGAGCGTGGAGCAATGTGTCCACAGCTGGTGGGCCTGGGGAAGGGGGTTGGAGAGCAGAAAGGATGCTCAGCACCCCAAAAGAGAAGCCCTGGAGGGTGCATTTCTCCATGGTGAGCTGGGTTAGGAAAGGATGGGTGGAGGTTTTGCCCCATAAACTCCTCCCTGCAGCAGGCCAGGCTCCTAACACGTGTGTTCTCCCCACAGTCCCCTTCAGCTTCAACCCCAACTCGGCGGGGTGCTGCCTCTCGGTGTCTGAGGACCTCACCAGCGTCACCAACGGGGGCTTCAAGCTGCTGGTGGAGAACCCCGAGCGCTTCACCTCCGCTCCCTGCGTCCTCGGCTCCCACGGCTTCTCCACCGGCTTCCACACCTGGGAGGTGGACCTGGGTGGGGTAAAGACCTGGCGGGTGGGGGTGTCCCGGCCTAGTGGTGGCACCCACTGCACCTTCCACCACGATGCCCGCTCTGGTTTCTGGTACATCTACCGCCTGCCCGGGAAGGAGGGCGAGGTGTGCCGGGCCTCCAACGCCGCGCGCTCTGAGGTGCTGGTGGGCGACCTGAAGCGCGTCCGGGTGGAGCTGGACTGCAACGAAGGGGAGCTCTCCTTCTACGACGCCGACCGCAAGACACACATCTACACCTTCCACGAGAAGTTTGGGGGCACAGTTTTCCCTTATTTTTACGTGGGGGGCAGGCCGGAGGGTGCCCTGCCCGAGGGGCTCCGCATCTGTCCCCTCCGCGTCCGCATCCACGAGGATGTCCCCGTCTAAGTGGTCGCCCCTCTCCTGCCACCGCTGCCTCTTCCCTGCATTTGGGGTTCTCCAGGTGCTTTTTCAGCTTTCCTTAAGGAAAAGAAAAAAAGGGAAAAAGAAGTATGTATGTATGTACTGCCTCTTTTTTAAAAAAATCATTAATAAAGATTCTGCTCTTCTTGGATGGCTCCACCTCTGTGGCTGAACCACCTCGGGTCCTGTCCTGCCCATCTCCATAGAATCATAGAATGGTTTGGGTTGGAAAAGACCTCAAAGATCATCGAGTTCCAACCCCCTGCCCTGGGCAGGGACACCTCCCACTAGAGCAGGTTGCTCAAGGCCACATCCAGCCTGGCCTTGAACGCTTCCATCACGGATCGAAGCTGAGAAGGTCTCAGGGAGAAGGTGTCTCCCTGCTGGGTGCCTGAAAATAGTTAATTAAACCATCTTGAGGGCTTTCCAAGCTCATACAGGGGTTGCAGCTTGCAGGGATCCAGGTCTCCCTGTGGTGGGTACAAAAGGGACAGTGGCTTCTGCCCCCAGACCTCAGGATGGGGATGTCCCCATGGCCTGGTAGGTGCAGGCAGAAGCTTGTGCTTCCCCTCTACAAAAGAAACCACAAAGGGGGACAACCTTGAGAGCACCAACCCATCTCCTCCAGCCCCTTCTCCTTGTGGCTTTTACCCCTCTGAGGGGCTTTTTCCATCAATCCCCTGCTCCGGGAGGCAGGGGGTGACAGGAGGTGGTGGGATGAGGGGAGACAAAAAAACCCCACCCTCTGCAACCCCCTGCTAGGTCTGACCCCATATTAATCCTGCTCTCCATCCTGGTGAGGACAGGGGGGGTTTGAAGGTGATGCCCTGGAGAAAGGTACAACATTGGGGCAACAGTGTCTGGCCTGTGAGGACTCCTGACATTCTGCAGCTGAGCACATCCTTGTTCTGCCTCATCATCAATGGCTCCAGGGCTTAGAAAATCTTTTTCACTCACTGATAAATGGACAGAAGCAGCTCCCCTATCCCATGCTTGCAAAATCCCTGACAGTCCAACTCCCCCACTCTTGTGCTGATAGATCTCTAAAAAATTCCCTTAACTCTTTCAGAGTGCAAGCACTAGTGATCTGCCCTCTTTTCTCTGCTCCTTCCTGCTCCCCCCTCGCTTGTATGGGGGGTTCTGCTTCCACCTCCCCACTGCTTTTTAAGCCCAGAGCAAATTCAAACTCCGTCTCAGAGTCTGAGGATTCAAACATTTTCATCCCATGACCGGTTTGTAGTGAGAGCACGGACTTCAGAAACCAACACCTTACTTTTCCCATATTTGTCCCTGTGTTTATTAACAACACACGCTGCCAACTGATCCACATTATCTTGCATCTCCTAGTGCTGCTCTGCTTGAACCACCATCACTTCTTGTGCAATCACCTTTGCATCTTGCAAACTCCAGTTTTCCTTTTCCAACCCTCTCCCTTTACCACGCCACGCAATAACCTCATGGTCAAGAGCTCTCAGCCCGGTAGCTAATGGTCACCCCAATCTACTCACTGATTTGTGAGATGAATCTGATGCCACTTTCCACAGCAACCCCTGCACAGCCTGGGGGGTAATCACCGCCCCATCATCTATCTCAGGCCATTCCTCCGGTGGAGCCAATTTAGCCAAAAAAGTCACCACGGGGGTCCAGTGCTCCGTACTGGGCCATCCCAGAATAGGGGGTGTCACCATAGTGGCCTCCCCACTCCCCAACTTTTTTGTCAGCCACAGCATGGGGTGTTCCTGGAGCTGCTGACTACGCCAAAAGTGTGAGCCGACGCAGGCAGGAGGCAGGAACAACCACAAAACCAGGGATTAAGGGCAAAAACAAATTTCATCTCAATACCTCATGGATCAGGGAACCTCGGAAGCAGCACCCTCAGAGGCAGCAAGCAGGGGACGCAGGCACCATGGAGTGAGAGTCCTTATTAGCAGGAGAGTCCTCGTTAGCCAGGGAGTGAGGGAGCGAGGGAGCTCCCACTTGCTGTTTGGGGCTGGATTTCAAGGATTCTGGCCAGCAGAGCTTTCTGCTGGGTTTTGATCTCTCCCACAGCAGGGCAGGAATCTCAGGCGGGTTTGATAAGGTGCCCCTGAGCCCATCCCAGCCTGTGTTATCTGAGTGCAGGTGTTCTACTTGTTGAGCACACAAAACTAAGCAGCAACGAGTGTGATAGATGTGTTTTCCAGCACCCCACTTGAGCTTATTTACAATCCTCCTCCCCAATCTTCCAGTACTTTCCCACAGGGGGGGGTTTGAAGGGGGTGTCCTGGAGAAAGGGGGGGTGCCTGGTGGGTTGTGCTGCCCACACACACTGCCCAGGACCTCGTTAATGGCCCGTTTCCATGGTTTCTCACCATTTGCATGAGGATGCTCCTTAGGAAGGAGGAGGAAAAACAAAAGGGAGCTGGGGGAGGGAGGCGTGGGGTGCGGGGGCGACCCTGGGGGTCCTCCGCCTTCCTGACGTCGCCTGACGTCACCTATTTCCAGCCAAAAATCCCTGGATACGGGGGAAAATGAGGAACATCAGTCCCAGCATCCCATCTCCCTCCTGGCCCCGCATCCCGGTGCCACCCATCACCTCCCAGAAAGCTGGATATTTGGGCATCCCGTGGGCATTTTGGGCACAAACAAGGCGTTAATTTGGAACAATAAAAAGCCATCGGAAGCCCTTTGAGTGGCCGGGGCTGCAGCAGGATGAGGAATCTCTCTTTGTCAGGCCCAAAAGCAGCATTTCCCCCCCTCCCGTGGCTGCCAGAGCAGGTGCCTGGCATAAAAATGGCAATAAAGGGTGAAATGAGGCAGCAAAACCAAAGCTTTTCACCTTTTTTTTTTTTTTTTTGATTCTTTTCATGAAAAATTGGCTTGCGGGAAACAATATGAATTAATGAACTGGTTTTGGGGGGTAATAAACGGTACCAGCGTCTTCCCCTGAGCTTAATTTCATTCCCCCAGAGGCAGGGAAATGGCTCTCAGTGGAAACCCAGCCCCACTGCCCCCACGGGTGGTGTCTCCCCGGGACTGAACATTCGCTCGCACGTCCAGCATCCGAGGATGAATTTGGGGTAAAAAACCTCCCCAACGCCTGCGATCCCACCTGGGGACACTCGCGGGACCTTTTCCGAGCTCAAACCTTCCTCTTTGCAGCAATTAGAAAGATGGCGTTAATAATGATTATTATTGGTAGCAGTAGCATTGTTTTAGCATTGTTTCAGCATCATTTTTGGCTGCCGAG